GAGAATATTATCCTCATAAAATTGTCTGTTCATTTCATGCGCTTCATCAGTAGTTTTATATACTATTAACATTATATCGTATGACTATAAATGTTTATATTAGGTTGTTATATTCGTGCGAATAAAAAATATCTATACTGGAACGCATAACTGATCAACTGTTTTGTTAGATGCACGTAATATTAATAGTTGAAGTGCTTAAGTAACTATCTAAATGTATTCTTTCTAGTTAACAATTATAATGCATTGTCTAATAGAACAATGAACTCGAAACAACAACAGTCGGCTCTTGATGTAAGTGTAAAAAAAAAATTAAATATACTGAAAAATTTGTTTCGTGGATAATTTTATTTTATAATAGTTTCATCGAATAAATATGCTTACCGTGTGGTAATAGTTTTAAAAAAAAAATAAGATTTTTAAAAACTATAAAAGTGCAATAAATTTGCAAATTGAGTGGTTTCTAACGTACATAATTGTATTCAGCTGTTAACAATAAGAGCGCGTGTGACCAGCAGTTTTTTATTATTGCTTCCTTTTTTTTTTTAATGTCAACTCCTGTTGGGGCATAATTCACCTTTTTAGGCTTATGAAATTGCAGAAGTTTCACGTATTTTTAGAGAAAAGATTTTTGGCGAAAATAAAAAGTTTTTTTTATTCTATAAACAAATGTTTTATATAGAACCATAAATAATTATGCGAATGCGACTTTTCACCGGACTCCCAAGTTTTTCCACTACACAGGCTTTCACCGCCGCAATAAAACACTTCCTTTGGGTCGTAACGCGTTCAAATCAACCCTTATACGTTCTCAACCCTCAGGTCGTGCCGTCATGCCCATTTGAATAACACAAACCGCATAACACATAATAATATAAGGCGCAATGTTATATTATATCGTCTGTACGACGGTTTTCTACAACGGCCTGGTGAACTCCACTAAGTTTAGTCGGTCCCTATGTATATTATGTATAAATTGAAACTTAGTTCGTTAATAATATAATACAGCACATTCGGTCAAAAGGTAGCTGCTGTAAAATAAAAAAGAACATAATACACATATTATAATATACCTATTGATAACCGTATTTTTTTTAGTTTTCGACCGATTTTTTTATTTTTGTTGAATTTTTTTGACATTTTAAACGCTGTAATATCCGAGGAGAATAAAAAAAGTACTTTCGAGTTTCGGGCGTAGTAGCAAATTATGCGTGTTCGGTCAGAGGAGAAATTACACCGTCAATCGGTCATCGTCACGACACGCCGATAAGTAAATCCTCCAGGAACCCATTTAACTTTATTGCTCGGCAACGGCCAAACCTTCGCGTAATCGTACTTGCTTCTGGTCGTAAAGCCTCGGTGGCCTGCCACCGCTGTTCGGTTTTTTTTTCTCCGGGGAGCTTTACTTTTGAATAGTTTTGCGTCAACCGTTAAATTTATCGGCCGATTCAAATTGGATACGGTAATATTTAAAATTCTATACGTTTTCGCGTACATACGGGTATATACGTATACTATGTAGGTAATATACCGTTGGAAATAATGATGATATTACACATTGTACTCAACGTCGGCCGTGGAAATTGTTTTTGCTCGGCTAGACTTAAACGGACGCGCATAAATGATAATATAATCTTATTCGAATTACACATTGACGTGAAAAAAATGATACTCTTAACTGCTTTGTTGTGTCACCTAATACGTCACGTATGTACTAGCAACATTGTTAATGTTGTAGTATTGGAACTATAAGGTTCGCTTTGTAGACGAAAAAATGTATAGGTTCTTCTGCGTCGAAGAAATAATTTTTTTTTTTTTACGGTCAACTCCACTACTCGAAATGTTAGTATTTATATTTGAAAAACAAATACGTTTAAAACGTTTTTTTCATAAAATGAAAGTATTTGAATTCTTTGTCGTCTGATTAGTCTTAAACCGAATACAATGATTGTAATGCAATTGTATTTAAAAACAAAAGAAAAATGTGTTCGATTTGAGATTAGTTACTCAACATTGTTTAACATTATCTAACCGCAAGTATTTATGAGAAGTCGTTTTTGTTCGGAGCACACATTTTGCCTTATCTATGTATTTCATACACAAATACTCAGTTAAACACAACAATGCCTACTTTCAATTAATTTCCTCCGCTTATCTGGTTCCTAATAAACGCACGCAAGTATAATAACATATAATAGTAAATTTAAATTATTAATCGGCCGCGTTCACAAAGCCTCTTTATGGATTTTATTAAATGTACCTTGAATGATTTAACAAATTCGGTAATGCTTTGTAATTATTGCGTTTCCTTCTCAAGAAAATAATTACATGTCAAAAACATAAACCGCCACACTCGCCTAAAGGCGCACATTGCTGCCTGTTTTCAGATTTTTTCTTTTCTCTGCGTTTTCAAGTGGAAATAATGTTAACATATTGATATCCTAAGCATAAATACATCGGCAGTATTTAATTGAAATCATTGTCCTTCGTTATACTACATGTCATTACCAGACGTTCAGTACAGTTATATGCTGTATTATATTTATTATGGTATAATAATTATGTTTCATAATTGATTAATCCGATAAATTATTTTGAACGTACTTAACGGTGTCTAACGAGCGTCTCGGTTTATTTTATCTCAATCAATTTTCACCAAAATATAAACTAAAATGTACCAACAATTCAAGAACAACATTGATACTTAATAGATTATATTTCAGTTTAGAAAAACATTGCCCGAAAATTTGATAAAAAAAACTTAATTTTCTTTGAATTTTGACCCTTTAGTTCAAATTATATAATTTCTTAGAAAACAATAAACGTTTTCTACTTTAAAATAATCGAATTGTTTGATATACCATATAATAAAGTATATTTATGTATTGATGGGTAAATTTGGCAAAAGCCGACCGGACCTGCGTGTATTCAATAAAACTGACCGTAAGGTTGAGTAAGCACACCTCCAAAGTGGAAAATAAAGAGCCGCTAACAACCAACACAATGATGATGTTGTGGGTATTGTGGCCAGCGGGAACTAAGTGTTTTGGCACGTTACCCAACGGCGTGCCTCGCAGTATATAAGCACACACGGATTTATATAGGAAAAGAAAAAGGGTGGCACATAAAAAATAATGAAATGTGAAACCCTATTGAAATAAAAAAAATAAATGATAATCAATCGAACGTTTTTGACAAATTTCACGAGCATAGGAGCCTATTTGTGGGAGGAAGGACTTGGCAGTTTTGAAATTATCACCCTCAAAATTCCGTGCATAACTTACCTTGAGTTATTTGAAAAGGAGACCATCGGTAAAGCCCCCCACCTATTTTTGTTTAGTAAGATTGCGGTCGATGGTCAATGGACTATTTGGTGACCAACATATCTACGTTAACATAATATTTATAATAAATACAAATAACAAATGGCGCATAACGTATCGAGATGAGCAATACAAGTATCAAATAGTAAAATTTTCAAAAATTGTATCAATGAGTCCAAAATTGATCGATTATTTAAATTATTAATAGGTGTTCTCGCTGCAAATGTAATTTATAAATACATTATATTGTACCATGATGTAATTTACAATTTATGGATGCATCAAGATTTCGGTTCATGTTTAATATCCATCACTGAATATATATATTTATTTCTGACCTTTTTGTTTAATTTTAAACCCGCTCTATGGTCATTTATAATCTGGTAAACCTTTTTGGAAGAAAGTTTATGACAGATTACCGCCAACACAATGAATTACCCACATCAATATAATTTCGCGAACAATATACCTAGTATATAATATTGTATATATATATATATATATATATATATATATATATATAAGTCACATTGTTAGTTGTTCTATATCTTGGAAATTTTACCTCGGTATAGTTACAGCTTAATATTAACAATTTGTGAAAGGCCGTGCTAGTCTCAGATCCAAAATCACAAGTCTGGTACATAAATTATATAGTATTTGATTGAGTACTACTGATATTCACCAAAAACATATTTTGTTAATCTCAGTAAAGAGTCTGTTATTTTTTGTTTTATTGTTCTATGCGTTCTTATTATTTATTTAGTTATTTTACTTATTATTCTTTGGTTTGCATATTATTTTTTGCACCTAAAAATTGTTAGAAATTCGTTACTATGATTTGAACGTATAGTTAATCCCTCGGCACAAGATTTTAATTAATTTCCTGATATATTACATATTTTTTTTGATTTACCAGAAACCGTTGTAAAGGTAAGAGTGGTGTGTAATAAAATTCCAGTCGACTACGCCGTGTCAATAATGTTTTTAATTTAAAATGTATGCCTGAATTATATAAAGTAAGCACTTCATGTATGCATATTCCAAATGCTGAGGCTATGAATATTTTAAACGGTATTTGTATAAGGTGTCTAGCGCCGTTTTGAAGTAGAAGTTATACATAAATATTTTGAAAAAACATCACATGATACCTTTAAGTCGTCTAACAATATTGTAACTATCGGATAGCACATAAAAACAAACATAAAATGCCTCTCAAGTCTCAATAATAATACTGTATTCTACCGACGAATGCCGATAACCAGCAATCAGTATCAAACCGACTTAAGACCATAAAAAAAAAGAATATTTTACTTGGATATGTATAGGGCAGGGTCGAAATCATGAGTTATACAACCACGAGTTTCTTTTTAATTATAAAATACTAGAATTTCTCTATCGAGTATTGTGGTTACCATGCTAACGTGGTTGGGTACAACTTTTATACATTTTTTTAACCTTCAAATGTCCTATGTGTACAGCTATACAATAATAATCTGTCGCTGTCGTGTCGTATAGCAATATATTTATTATTCAAAACTACAATAACGCATAGATAGTGTAGTTTCTATGCAATCAAATATGAACACAACATTTTAACCTGGTAGTTTTGTTCTAATCAAGTACAACTATTCTAATGTAATAAAAATATATATTATATTATTTTGTATTAATTTGCAGATTTCCTAAACTGGTCCCCGAAAACCGTAGCACTGCAAGGTAAGAACACAAAGTTATATTATTTCTATGTGCCAAATTATCAATTTTAATTTACATAAATTCTAAAAAATACTTTAGGGATTATCGATTAATGGTTTATTGGCGCCTAAGTTTTTTAGGAACACTTTAAGCGTGCAATAACAGTTTTATTACGTCATACGATGTGATTTATCGTGGAGGTAATATTTTTAAGCCATTTTATAATCATGTATTTTCATCATGATAATGAAATTATATACATAACTTATAACGCTATAATTGACGATCACGTCACACGCGATTCAGTATTTATTTTGCTTGATTCTCATCGTTATCATAGACAAGAACGAATTGAACGAAATACATTAAAACCCGAATAGCGCGTTTTGTAAAATATTCAACGTTGTACATCTAAGTGATATCCGACTATGCAATATTGGACTAATGCGGTTTTCCAACCGATTTCTAGAAATCCGTGTCTAATTTAAGTATTGAATTTTGAATTTGTTTCAATGAAAAATCTAGAAAATCTAATATGTATATTATACTAGTCTATGTTAACACCATCGACAATATGTAACTATTTAACGCATACCACAGTATCTTCCGGGAAACTTCAACATAGTTTATTATAAGAATTTGTTCACTTTTTTCTATTTTCATCCATTGTAACGACGAGTGCCTGCGACGGTAAACTTTACAAATAAATGGGTAAAACAAATATATACATAATAATACCTATATATTAATATAAAGACAAGGGCTTTTAATAATATTGTATGCCTACGGCGAAGCGCGCATTTATTAGGGTCTCCGTTAAAGAGATTGCTCTATTGTTCTAGTTTTAATTATATATTCACACTCCGACCCGGGAAGAGCTCGCAAAGAAACCTTGTTGGCTTTTGTTGTCTTCGTGAAAAATGAACATTCCGGATTGTTTTCTGTTCTCCGGCAACGTCGGTGGTCCTTTTTCTTTTTGTTCCTCCGATTCGAGAAATGAGAGTTAAGTAAACTAAGACGGGCAAATAAATAACTTATTAACGACACAATGTATTTGCGTTAAAAAAAAAACACACACACACACAAAAGCTGTCGCCGAATTTAAAAGGGGCGCAATTAATTTCGCGCCAAATCTTATGTACATTTTGCATTGCTTTATCGCTATCCATTAAATAAGTCCGCTTTACAATTTGATAGAAGCGTGTGGCGAAATTGGATTTTTTAATAAATCACTAAGTTAGGTAAAACTCGTGTTTCCGGACAGTTAAATAAGATTTGATGAACGGGTCGTGCTGTAATGTTAAATGTGAACGAAATTGAAAACAAGTTTTTGGGAAAAATCAAACAAACAAACAAACCTTAGTACAGCGTTTGATAAAAACAATTCCCAGTTCGTAGGAACGAATAATATATATTTCGAATATGATATTAATTTATGGTTAATAATATGTATATTACAACTATAAAATATAATATTGTAAATTATTTGAATACATTTGTTCTGAGTAAATTAATCACGTCTAGACAATCGATAGTACTGCGGAAAATCACTTAAGAATAGACTTGTGTGTGTTTTTTTTTTTTTGCAATTTTCCCAATTCAATGCAGTTCCCGTGAGACCCCTATGAAAAATCAAATTACAACACCCGCAGACATTTATCACTTTTATTCTTTTTGCGCGAGATTTCCACTGTATTGTACTAGCGTTTTATTTTCTCTTAGATATATTATTATATGTACGTCATTGCATTGTTATTATTGTTATTTATATGAAAATGGAGAAACTATATATTTTACACAACATGTATGTGCGGCAGCGAAAATTCTTATCGAGGTCATGTCGTGAAATCAGACGGCGTAAATTTTTATCCCGTTAAGATTTATAGCGCTTACTTTCCCCTTTTTTTTTTTTTTTTTGTAACCCCTCTTCTTATTTTTCCGCGGCCTTAAAAAGGCAATATATCGGACCTGCGAAAAATATGTTACAGACCAGTTAAAGTGTCGACCGCAAGACATTCTTCTTCTTTTTTTTTTTTTTGGATCACTATCCCTCTTTCTTTTGTACTTATTTTCTTTTCCTTTTTTTTTTTTTTTGTTCTAAGAAAAGTGAAAAATGTATAGATAGGCAAAGAATCTCGTCGTAGACTTACACGTAAGAAGCTAATAAATGTTTACCCGTCGAGTTCTATTATTAAACCGTTACTCAACAATGATGTCCGTTACACCATACCTATGTATACACATACATACCAACAATACTGTTTCTTTGTTTAGACAATTTTAGCGTTCCGCTTGCAGTTCGTTTTTAAAACGTTTTAAAACTTACAGCACGAGAACGTCATGAGATAAAACGAAAACTACTGTTTTATTATTACCATAAAAGCCCATTAATAGCCATTGTAAGTTGGTTATGGAAACATTTGATTTACATATTATTTTCACTTTTAGACTGCGACGGCGTTAAATATAGGCAAAATTGCTACATCGATGTAATAAAAAACTTTTTATTGCGTGCAAATATTTTTAAATTTTTATTTTTTGTTGTCTGAAACTATGTGATTTGTACTATCATTATCTTATCACCATGGGTACGTTTGCTCATTGTCTCTTTACAAACACACAAAAACAATACATTTTTTACATTCAGCTTGGCCGCTTTATCTCTGCAGTCTACCGTTTAAATTTATTACAGCCTCGTTACTAATCCTTTAATTCCTCTCGGTGGCTCTTTCATTGACTTTTTGCGCTTAAAGGTATAAATTATCATAGTTTGAACTAAACAAAGATTAGAATAAATAACTAGTGGATGTTTATCCTCCGAAACGACATTTGTACACACAATGCCTACTGAATTTTAAAAACATTTATAATAGAACCTATAAAACATTAAACGGTTTTGGAGAATTAAAATTTTAGTACAAAATAATGAATGTGTTATGTCAAAAAATATTATTATTGAAAGAAAATATATATTTTTTCTTTTTGTATAGCCTTTATTAAATAAAATATTCAGCTCAACAAACGAAAATAATTAAAAGAGCCTTTTTGTTTTGGTTATATAAATTGTAATTATAATATTGTTTGAATTTCATTTCTTTTGTTAGCAACCGATTGAACGAAAACTGCGGGATTTTATTGTTGTTATTATTTTGCAGCTTTGATACGAAACTGAGGATGTATTTTTAGTTTTTAATCACGGCAAAGTTGTTCTATACAAGGTTGGTACATAAAACATACTGTCGGAGAAGAATTTTAAACAAACTTTTCGATTAGAAAGATTGATGTTGGAAACGGGGAATATTTCAACCTGTCGACTTTGGAAATACAGTCGAATCCGAAGCGTTAAACAAAATCCCTCGAACGCTAAGTGCATCATATTGGAAAAGTTGTTTCATAATAGCAATTCACGCAGTGTCTCGACTATGTCCAACGAAAGTTATTAAGAAATCCGTACCGTTTGGTTTATTTATAACTGGCTCGGTGTAATTTTGCGTTCGTTAAATATTAATCAAGTGAACACAAACGAACAAGGTGTTTCGACGGTAAACTATAAGTTATAACGTTTAAATTAAAAACGCAAAGTCTTGTTTATATTATATTGTATTAAAACCGTTTTTTAATAAAGGCAATGGTGTAAGTTGTACAATTTCGAAAGTACTTTAAATACTGTCGTTCAGGCCAAACCTCTAAACCGAAAACAATACCAATTCTCGGAAACCCGTTTAACGTTACAACAGGTTTTATAGACTTGTCGATTCTTTTTTTTTGTCTCCAATATTTGTTGAAAAAAATTAAAAAACGTGTGTTTTATTTTTAATATTTTACCTTCGATTCGGAGAGCTGAGAGGTCATTTATTACCGAAAATTATATTGTTTCCCACCGATTCACATACACTACACGAGCATTTCAATCATTTGTTCGCGGCCCACTCATCTGTCTGTAATTAAAAACATAAACAATACAATTGATTAGACCGTTTATCGAAAACCAAAAGGAAAAAAAAACACTAAACGAGTTACTGGCAATATGGTAACTCGCAAATTGTTTATCCAACGAGCGAATGTTTTATGGCGTGGTTAATTAAGTTCATAAAACGTTTATCGCAGAGAAATACTGACGATTTTCCCGCCTTAATGTAAACATACGTGTATTGACCTCGTGGACAGCAAGAACCTTAACAGAGTCATGTTGTGTTCACAAGTTATTTCGTACAAAATATGAAAACAAATATACTCGTAGTAAATTTTTATAAAACAATTTTGTGATGAGAGTTATTAAAAAAAAAAAAAAAACATATATTTATGTTCAATATTTTATTGTTTACTCGATTTGCAAAACTGGTCAGAAACTAGTTACAAATTTGTAAAAAATAAAAATAATATTAATCAAATAGCAAATTTTTTGTTCTGGTATTAATTTATACATAATAATTTTCTTAAGTCACTTACAAAAATCAATATGGGTTTGTAACTCTCACGTTATCCCCCCCCCCTTGGTCTCTCATACTATAAATAGTAATTTAACGAGTTACTCATAAGGAGTTACTTACTTAGCTCTTTCGTTGATTTTAGTTACATATTTTTAAAATTGTAATGTTAATTATTATTTATAACCCTGCGTTGACGTACTACTTTAACGTGATTCATTTATGATTTATTACTTTTTTTATAATTAAATAGTTTACATTAAAATTATACCGTAGTAATATTTACATACAACACAACCGAGTAATTTAAATATTTTATCAAAGTATACTATCGTTTTGAGTGTGTTTAAGTATCATTAAACGCGGTATTTCTTTTGTTCCTGGTATACAAGACGTGTACAATACCCATTTTATTTACAATATTATTATTATATTATAAGGATGTAAAGAATGGTTGTCTTTTTATGTATACATCTCTAGTACTTAGCGGGCGGAAAAAAAAACTATAAGTGTTCACAAAGGAAACAACTGATAACCTCTTGTAGGCTTGACCGTGTATAAAGTACGCAGGTCTTTTCATAAATTTCTAGTTAT